GGGTGTGGGTGGGGGGGTGTGTTCGTGTGTGGGTGTGTTCGTGGGGTGTGCGCCTGTGAACCTTTACCAACCGATGACACACCTGTGAAGACATACCTGTTTAGAGATGACATACTCGCAAGCGATGACGTCGCCAACTCTCTAAATAGCTATACCCCTGGTGACATATCTAAGCTTTTCATCAAAAGTCACCGTTAGTTAGGAATTTTTCCAAGTTTATGGACACACGTTGTGTGTTGTAAAAATAAACAGCAGTATCTTGTGACATATATTTGTACTCAGTTATGCAGTGGCCTACACAATGTTATGGTTGTTGCTAAACATCCCTTGCTTACTCACAGAAATAGCATTAGACATATTTTTAAAATAAAAATCGGTTGTAGCCCCTTCACATATAGGTGTGTGTGTATAAGGCTTATGCCTATGCATTTCCATATTTGAACCTACAAATTGTAAAATCCATATGTATAGATAAAAAAAAATGATTATTGTATGTAATTGATTATTGACTGACAAGAAAATAAAATCGTACGTATCATCGACTTTTCATCTATTTATTAATTTATTTTTTAACTGATTTTAGGCCGAAGGCCAAAAAATGACAAGCAGTGAACTAAGTCACTATAAGTGGCATATGTCTTCACAAGAGAAACATAAACACCATATTCACATAAACTAAGCATCATTATGAAGCTTAGCTAGGTAGTGGAGTTGTCTTGGTCGTGGAAAGGAAATTCAGTCGAACAGTCGAATTTCTATCACTTAGTGATTTTTTTTTCCTACTTTTCACTTTCTTTGTATTTTTATAAAAGGCATTGTATAATTCATTGACAAAAACGTATTTATTCCTAATATAAATGCAAATGAATAGGTTTTTATTAATGAAAATTAAATGTTAGTGTAAACCCGCAATGTGTGTCATGATCACACATGCTATTCATTTGCTCAATCTATACAAATTTAATATTCCCAATTGTTATTCATTCGTTATATATGCCTACCCTATCAAGTGGAAATAAACTATATTCTACCAAAAAATCGACAAAATTCACGGCAATTCCAATCGCAGCGAACTCGAAATATGCGACACATGTCGCAGTCAGGCAGACTACAAAAATTAAAACGTTTCTGACGCGTTTCCTTCTCATCCTCAGCATCAATTTTACTCCATAATATGTTTTTAGTGCCACTGCAAATGCGTTTCATGGAATCAGTAGCCGTGTAGCTGAAGTAATGATGGTTAATTTCTGAAATTGGTTCCAACCTGTACTTGAACATACTTGAAGGGTTTTCTTGTGCCTGAAATGATCAAGACAATAATTAAATATTCCAGTTATATGCAATTATTCAGATTTTTTAAAGGCCGCTATCTTAACCTTGCGAAATAATATTGCCACAACGCTGTTTGGCAGAAAGTAAATTTAGTGGTAAATGTACTAAAAAATAATCTCTAATCTGATAGGGGACAAGATTATTACACGTTTTTTTTTTTAAAGGATAGTCAATTATGAATTTCTGTCAAGTAGTGATTTGTAATGTAAGACAATGATGATGCATTATCCAAAAAGTTACTCAAACCACATGACGTCGTTAATAATTCCGATAACACAATCACCAATTGGCTACCATAGAACTTTTTGTTTCAACGCGTTTCGCACTGACAACGATTTTTATTATGCTCCGTTTTCAAGTGGCAACCGAAGACATTGGCAGTACGTTTGTAAAAATTATCATTTTGACAAACCACAAAAATTATAACACAGAAAATAGCCTCGGATTTTTCCCTGAAATGATTATTGTTGATTTTTATTGTGCTCTGTTTTAAAACTTAGTTGCTTCCACTGACTCTGATGCAGATCTACTAATGCTGTGAATTCAATCTTCATCTTTTGAATAATATAAAAAGAAAAATTATATAAAAACCAAAATTTAAAAAAACAATATATATATATATATTTACGTTTATATTTTTAAAATGTATATGTCATTATTTCAGATGACTTTAGATGATGTTTATTGACATATTATGTCTTGTTCAGTGTACTAGTGGTATTAAATCTAATGGCTATCGTTATTCTAATACATAATCGTTATGAAAGTGACATGCAAAAGGGAAATATATAATAGTAAGCGCTAATTAGTAAAACAAGTGTTAAGTTGAGTAATTACTTTCGTTAGGCCGAGTGACTATTCTTCGAGGATATGTGATGTCCATCAACAGAAGGTCTACTGTATTATCAAAACTGAAATAATGATTCAAGGGAATTAGTATACAGAATATAAACTCTTAATGAAGTTCTCCCCGATAATGATCAATTGTATTAGGAGAAACAAAATGATAACGTAGGCTTACCGATCTGGTATCATTGTACTCCGCTAGGCTTGATATATAGCAAATGTCATCGCCATTGTATCGATAAATGAGTAGTCCCTGTAAAAGTTAACAAACAAACAAAATAATGCAACTTAATGTCAATAATACAGAATCTAACCAATTAAAAAAAATCAAGGAAAGAGTTCTTGAAATGTCATAATATCAGACTTCATTTTCTTTATTCAATGTATAGAGAGTAAACCGTTTAGATTATCCTTAGAGGTCACGGAAAAAAGCATACGACATAGATGGGTTACAAAACCTCTTAAAAAAATACCGTACATTATGTTACTTTCAATAATGTTCTGAACTTTTGAACAATATCAACACTTAAGATTAATTGATCAGAATATTAGGATTCAGGTATAAAAATGGGCGCAATTTAAATAAATTTCAGAACTCAGATCTCAGAATGTTTTATTACACTAACAAAATATAACAATAAATTATCATGACAAATTGATGGTCGGGAGACTCTCATTAAGGCTAAAATATCAGCAGCTACCATGAGAGCCACCGCAGAAATAAATACATGTATTGGTTATTCATGGTAAAATGTTATATGTAATTATTTAGATGATTAGATGATTATAATATAACAGTATAACAGCATAACAGGAAATCATCATAAAAATAATTACCATTACCATTATTAATTATTACATACATAAATAACAGTTAGGAATATAACAATATTTATTGTATATTCAAATTATTAATATTTTAATATAATTAGCAAAACCAGAAATACTCTGGGTTATAACCTCAGAAAAAATACAATTTGAATCATATCGATTAGACGGTGTTGCAAAAACATGATTAACTTTATATATTAAAGGGTATTTGTTTGTTATCGAGTTCATAATCTAGTCTGTCTACTGTTTCCAGTACAGCTAATTCAGTCAAGTGTTTCTCCTGGAAACCATACTGACTGTAAAATAAATGTTTTTGCCTTGAAAATAATTATGCAGTTAATCAAAAATAATTATTCAAAAATTTTTAAAATTTATTGAAGTATAGATATAGGCATATCATTATTAGGTATAGTTTTATCATGTTTTTTTTATACAAAGGAATCACTTTAGCAGTCTTCAGTCTATCAGGAAAAATTCCTGCGTACAGAGATGGATTATTGACATAAGATTAAAGTTCACATATTTCCATTTTAATTAATTTGGACATTTTAGTTGATAATTCATCAATTCCACAACTGGATTTTTTTTTTCAATCGATCAATGGTCTTTTGAATTTTGTTATCTTAAATCACATTAAAATGAAAAGTCTGAAATTGGATTTCTCAAATGACTTACTCCTGACAGCACATATCTGAGATCCAACTTATGTACCAATGCTTAAAAAAAACTCGTCAGCAATTTTCTTTTTGTCACCTATTAAATTATTATTATTTTAAAAAAAATTATTAAACTTTCTTTTTCTATTATTTATTACTACTACTATTACTAATTAACATTTTTTTGGCAAGCTTGAAGTTTTTATATTTTCAATTTTTTTTCTATGTATTTAGATTGGTTTTTAAATTGATATATTGTCTATCGTCTTTAGAAGTCTGCTTTACAATTAATACAATTTATTGACTTGCAAGTCAATGGTTTAAAATGTGTAAGATAAAAGCATTAAATATTTCATAATTTCCATCATGTAACTGTTTAATGTATAATCAATTAAATATATACATAAATATACAAGACTACATATGAACGTCAACAAACAAAAATCGCCGCCATGTTTGTACATTTTACTCTGGTATACATGAGTGACGTCAATGAAGACTGTCAATGCACTCGACCCTTGTATAGCATCTACTTCTATTATAATGCCGTGATCCGTTTGTTCAAAGGTTTCAGACAAAGTTTTCATGAAGCTGTTTCCCTACTATTTGTATTTAACACTTTTTAGGAAAGCTTGATGTTTTTCTTCATTCTTTTTCTATGTATTTAGATTGGTTAATAACTTTATATATTGACTGGCGTCTTCAGAAGTCTGCTTTACTTTTAATACAATTTACTTCTGAACTTCATTAACCTTTTTATGCCTCTAGTCATCCATGTTAATTGCTTGTGTTTTTACCTTGCAAGTCAGTGGTTTAATATTTCATAACTTCCATCATGTTCCATCATAATTAATTAAACATATACATACAAGACTACATATAAACATCAACAAAAACCATCGCCGTGTATGTACATTTTACACTGGTACTTACATAAGTGACGTCAGTGAAGACTGTCAAAGCACTGGACCCTTTTAGAGCCTCTACTTCTATTTTAATGCCGTCATCCGTTTGTTCAAATGTTTCAGATAAATTTCGAAATTCAACAACGAACAATTCCTCAAACTTCATCTGTAATAAAAAAAAAGAAATGAGTTTATAGTTTAATTTCATTAATGGTTCCCTTAAATATTAAGTACATTTGCTATGATCTGTATTTGTTCATCCCGGTTCATCCATACGTATGTCTATGCGACGCTGATGTCATACATTTCGTCGAAAGTTTTTAAACAAGCAAACTTGAACTTCTAATCGCTTGTTTTTTGGTTTGTTTTTTTTTGTTTTTTGTTTTTTGTTTTTCTTCATACATTGGTCATTTGTTTATTTAAACTGAACAAAAACTGAATTGAAGTAATATAGTTGAAGACAATTATTAGGTATAGTAAATAATATATAGCGCATTTTACCAAATAATAGAATGCATTCGGAAATGTAAAATAATCTAAACATTCAATAATAAAATTTATACTGAAAAAAATAAACACAAAAAACACAACACTCAGAAAGACGTTGATTACAATATCAGTGGCAATACTATGTAGTGTAACGCTTGCCCTTACCTTGTGTTGAGAATTCTCGACATCCTGGGTACTCATAGTGTGTGCTGGTGTACCATACATACAGGCAAGTATGATGCAAAGAACCACTGATTGTACTACTTTGCTCATTTTATAGTCTAAGTTTTGTTACAATATAAAACTTCACTATAAAAATTGAATGAGTGGTCTCTCCGTGATGAAATTGAAGTGAATGGTGATGAATTATAAAATATATTCCTTTTTATACAGCATGATGTAAACATTGTTGCATAACAACCATGGTAAATTTGTTTAATCATTTGATGAATTTTGTTTGTATATCAAATCTTTCACGCCCCCTTTCATGGAAAGTTTATAAATTGATTTCGTTGCCGATTACCGTTTCGATCATAGTATGTATATTAAACTTAAAGCTTATTTACATACAATCGCTACATTGTCGCTACATCAATCGCTCTACATATTGTAGCATAATTCATGTTAAAGATTGCCAATTCTGTAAATAGTGATGATAGGTGTGCTATTTTGTCTGAATGTGTTATAGTAGGTACTATACATTTCTGAGAAGATTTGTTGGTTTTAAATGTCATATTTACTTTCCAGACCTGAAAATAAAACAATTATATTACAATAACAAAATTTATGATGGAATAAACGTCTTAAATTTGTAAAGCACGCATGCCTTAGAACTAATACTTTTGTTTACCTATTATTGTGCTTTTTCCATGAAAGATTTTTGTCAAGAGTTACCCCAATAATGTGTACGGTGGATTTTGCGTCGTCAATTTTTGTTTCTTTTAATATTGCACAATTTGATTGAACCACTATGATTACCACGAAAAAGATCAAGATTAGTTAAATAACTCACAGTCACATCACGCCAGATGTGAGGTTGATTATTTGATAAATTGCTATTGCTGTTACTACTTTGACGGGGAATCCCCTAAACTGTGTATAAAAGTATAATCCAGGGGCTAACAGTGGTCATCGTGCACAGTTTAAATTATTTGATGTTTGTTTTGTTCCTACAAGTCATTAAGTCAAGTCAGGAAACTTTGCTGACCCCCTGACGATGTTAATGAACCTAACAGTTTCTTTACTGAAATGTCTGTGAGTGAGTTGAAGGTGCTCCCCTCTAAAAATGGTATTTAGAGAACTTAGAATTCCGTCAACAGAAACAGGACTTGCCTTCGCCAAGAACTACAAAATGTAAAAGAAAAAGCTAAAAGACTATTTTGAAGTTACGCTTTGCTGGTCCAACCATCATCCTGCTGAACTAAAAGACCATGAGCAGCTTAGCTCAGACGTCTAAACCGGTGGTAGCGACTGTGTGCGCTGAACCGTGGAGATCTAGCTCTAGGCCCCCGGTTCAATTTCCATCCATGCTATCTTTGTTTTTCTGCTGGATGGCTGAAATGCAAGTTACGATAGCGCACCGTCTCAGATAAGATGTTCAAGCCGTTAATCCCCCGTACATGCTAAAGAACGCATTACACTATTCGGAAAAGAGTAGGGGATTGTCTCCTGGTGTACTGCCCAATCACCACCAGAAGGACCCCACAGGAAATGAATCTTCTTTAGACTTTCGTGAGTTATCAGTGTTCACACCGAAAATCTATCCATCCATACATGAACAATAAATTGCACATTTATTCAATAATAATAATAGGCCAAATAGGCCTAATAATAATAATAATAATAATAATAATAATAATAATAATAATAATAATAATAATAATAATAATAATAATAATAATAATAAACAACATTTGTTATGCACCAATTTCAAAATAAATTATCAAAGGCGCATATCAAGGTAGGAACAGTGTAGACTAGATGGATTGAAAGATATGAGTTTCAAATTGAGTTTAGGCCTAAATGAAACAAAGGAGGGAGGTGTTGACAAACAATTGTAGGTCGTTCCACAGAAATGAGGCAGAAAAAGCAAAGTAATGGTACGTTGGCCATATGTCTTAAAGTTGAAGGCGGGGAAAGTGAGATAAAGTTTTTGCTGTTTCTGATCATCTACCAACCATTAAGTTGTTAGACGATGTTATAAAATCATTCAAAAATGGGGGAACAGTTAACATCAAATATAGACAATAATAATAAATAATAGACATAATAATAATAGACATAATAATAATAGACATAATAATAATAATAATAATAATAATAATAATAATAATAATAATAATATTAATAGACATATTCGGCGAAGTTTGTTTACAACCAGTCACGTGACTTAACTTTGGCATACAAAAGAAAATTTTACAGCGCGATCAGTGTGAAAGTATATTAAAAGGTAATGTTATGGTCGCAAAAATGGCAAGGAAAGTCATTACGATTGTTTAAAATAGTGTTTATTTACTTATCCTAGCGTTCTCCTAGCATTGTATATTTTGAAATTTAAGTGATCCTTCGTAGACTTTATTTAGCCTCAACATCGTAGTGTAGTTTAGCGTGGTTCGCGTGTCGAAGACCCTGGTGCATACCTAAACAGGCAGTAGATGTGCAGGGGCCTGGTCTAACATTTGTCGAAAAATCTGAATGTTTGTGGCCATTATTGTTTGGACCATTAGCAAACCCTTAAGGCAAAATTGTCAAGTTCAATTTCCAATTAATTTGGTATAGTTTACTGGAAATTATGACGATTTTTACAGCAATAACAAAGGACGGCTGCAATAGCAATCTCCATGTAAATACACCGCTGTACCTGTCCATTGTTTACATTCAACACGATGTTAGCTTACGTGACGCCCATCATCGAATCGCTCTATTAGAAGCACTAAAGTGTAACACAAGTGAACGCCTTTTTGCATTTATTTAGCTCTTATAACCATGATTTGGACTTACTGAACATTCCTAATAACGCTTGGCTGAACAACAAAATTACCTATATCTTTAAGAAGGAAAATAACAACGAAGCTATTAAATTTTAGGGGGATAGCAATTAGATCAAACCTCGGAAGATTTTTTTTTTTTTAAAGGATCACATGGAGACTCAAATCTGCTTATGAGAGTCATTCTAGTGAGAGTCAGTTCAACTGCAGATGAAAGTGTTATACCTAGATCTGTTATTGAGAACCATCAGCGAACAATTATTGCTAAATACATAGATATTGCTGCTGCATATGATCACAAAGCAAGACGCTTACTGTTCAAAGTCTTATTGCAATAATCGCTGCACACATCACCTCACTATTAAAGGCTATGTATGCTCGGATAAGAGCTTGCATCAGCAGGATGAATTCTTCCATCGACATCAATGTTGGGTGCAGAGAATAGGCATTATATGCTATATGTTATATATATACATATATAAAGCATATATATATATATATGTATATATATATATATATATATATACATATATAGAAAGACAATAGATTGAGATAAGCTGAGCATGCGCAGAAAGGTAGAGCAACATTTGTGCAACCTAATCTTATTTTAATCCCCTCTTTGCATGCAAAAATCTTTCCTATGTAATGTTGCAACTTAACTAATTGATACTTTTGAATTACCGCTCTGACTTTCTGCGCATGCTCAGCTTATCCCAATCAATTGTATTTCTATGTTATTTTCTTTGTCATTAGGCAATTTTATCTGAAGAGAGATGTGTATAAGAGACAGGTTGAAGGTGCTCCCCTCTAAAAATGGTATTTAGAGAACTTAGAATTCCGTCAACAGAAACAGGACTTGCCTTCGCCAAGAACTACAAGGTCTTAGAGAAATCAAATAATATTAAAATTTAAAAGAAAAAGCTAAAAGACTATTTTTCAGTTACACTTTTGCTGGTCCAACCATCACTCCTGCTGAACTACACGACCATGAGCAGCTTAGCAGCCTGGTCATATACATAGAGATAAAAATTTTTTATTTGTATTGAATATCGACGAGAAGCATAAATTATTAAATAAAAATGAAGACGTTACACATACAACACAATTTATTGATAATAATTCATTTACGTTGGTGTACGATGTAGAAAACAACACAGCAGCAACCATTCAACAACAGTTGGCTAAAGAATACAGAAATGTCTGTCGACAATTTCTACAAAAAGTTATTATGTTGGAACTAAAGTTTAAAACTTTCTGCAAAACAATTTTTAAATATTGAAAATTATACATATTTTCGACTTTTCATCGGCAGGATCGTCGCATTGCTATTATTTAGTGAGGGGTTTTCTATATTCCATTCTTGTCCGATGTTTATAGTTGACCTAGTATAATTAGTCTCTGATTTGATTTGTTCTGATTCAGATTCTTTATTCATCGTCACAATCATACATGGAAACTGAATATAAAATGTAACAATGTGAAAGTGGGTTATGGTCAGAAAGGCTATTTATTCGCTACACAAATTATTTTCGATTTATATAGACTGCTCAAAAGTGAATTGGAATTATAATTAATTATTATTATGATTGTATTGGTATATCATTCTGTGATTATATTAGTTTAAATACAGCTAAACATTGGTACCGGTCACTTTTCCAAATTTTGTTAAAGATGGCTACGTCTTAAAGCTCTACTAGAACTTACTGTAGCCTCCTTCCATAGAATGTATTTGTTTTAATTTGCATTCTTATTGTATATTGTCTTACTGTATTGTATGGAAAATATATGCATTTGACCTTGACTTTGACTGCTGATGTAGGCATATTACAATATCAAATATAAACACACTACATTATATAATTATAATATAATTTATATCACATTATTTAAGAATTCACATTGCTATCCGCAAACATAATCGCATCCTACACTTCGGCAAACAAGCTCGCACATGGCGTAGCAATTGCGCCGTTTCTGTCGCGTTTTCCTGCTCACCTTATGAATTTTACTCCATAATATGTTTCTAGCGCCACTGCAAACGCGTTTCATCGAGTAAGTAGCCGTGTGGCTGAATTGGTTCTATGAACAAACTTGAGGGGTTTTCCTGTGCCGGGAATGATCAAGATAATAGCGATACATTAAATGCCTATTTTCATCACTCAATTTTTTTCAATGAAAGCCATACCTAGTGAATTAATATTGTCACGAAGCTGTTTAGCAGAAAGATAATTCCGATCACACAACCATAAATTGGCTGCGATAGAACTCTTCTTTTCCAACGAGTTTTCACGCGATGAGACGCTTCACAACAATTTAATGTTTTTATTGGTTGCATGGTGCTTAATCATAATGTAGCTGGCGTC